TGAGGACTTCCTCTTGTCCAACCCACAGCCTCCCATAACAAAACTGACAAGACAATCCATCTTTTAATCATCTCCTCCATAAGATTTGCATTTTCTGCCCTCCCAGAATGGTGCCAAGTTGTTCCCAATAGTCTCTTTTGCTTTGTCCATTTTTTTGATGTATCAGGAAAACATAAAGCATTTCCCCCTTCTGCTCTGAAAGACAGTTTTATAGACTAACAGTTGGCAGTGCCAACTGATTAGATAGACAGACAAGTAACATCAGCCACCATGTCTTATTCTAAGAAAGTGCTCCTAGCATTCAAGATTACATTTTTCTCCATTTTATTTCTCCTCTTACTTTTAGATGAACTAGTTGCATCATGTAAAAGATTCCTATTACTCCATAGCTGCTAACTTTCGTTTAAGTAGATACTGTAAAGTTTCTCTAATTTCTTGATATGCTGGAACTGAATTAACCAGATACACAGTGGTGGAAATAGGAAAATGTGGAAAATTTCAATTCAGGTAGACCCAAAATACTTTTGAGCTCCACTTTAAATGTTTTATGTCAAATGAAGGCTACTTAATTTTTTTTTATTTTGAAATAAAATTAACTTTGAAATTCAAATATTGAAGTAAGTCATTCTAAAAAGATCGAAACAAGCATTTTCAACTCTTCCAATATTCCCCCCATATTTTTTATATGAAATAATTTGCCAGATTGAACTTGGATATGTGAATAATTGTGGTTCTCTCTAAAGCACATTTTTTAAAAATCAATTTATTCCACGCAGCTCTACCTGGAACTTCCTTGCGCACAATGCACGCTATCCCTCTGGCAGTGACAAGCTTAATTAATATTCCCTTCTACCCCATCCACTCCTCACCTCCCAAATGACCCCTGTCAAAACACATGCTGTAGGTGTAAAGAACATGCAGCAGCCCCATAACACTGCACTGTGTAGGAGGGTCTTCCTTTGGGGCAGAATTTCCTAAGCTCCTTTTAAAGAAAGCTGAGAAATAATGATTTCAAAGTTATTCAGATCAACGTTTACTTCAAAAGACCACACTTAACGGTGGCTTTCCTAGCTCAAGAACTGGCCTAAGGTACGTTTACAGAAATCCTGTAAACTCAGTCCAAAGACACATCTACAGAAGTACAGTTTGGAAGCAGAATGGAACCTGTGTTTCTTAAAGGTATTGCCTTTTCTGAGCTGCAGGGGAGGCTCTGTGATGGTAACAGAAGCTCACCTCCTCCATGGTACGACTTGGATGCACCCCCTTTTTGTGACCATTTCTCCACTCCTTTGGTTTCCGAGACTGCCACTGCAGCAGTTCCCCTCCCCAGCCAGTCTTCCCACCATGGGACAGAAAACCAGACGACACGGCACATACATGTGGTGGAGGGAAAGCCAGAACCACGCCACGCTTTCACGCAATATAGTCTGTACTGTTCTGGAACAGGCTGAGGTAGCTAACACCAATGTAGCTGCCATTGTGGGCGTGAAGGAGGCAATGCGTAATTGATTGCATCAGTAAAGATGATTTTCTATAACTGACCTTTTTTAGGTTTTCCAAAACGGGTTAAAAATGAGAAGGATCACATGAATATGTTTAACTAACATACTTTAAGGCCATTATGCAGACACAGCTTGTATTTAAATACATCCTCTCCTGCAGTAAACATCTGGTTTTATAATAAGGACAGGAAGAACCATTACATCATCCAGCCTGACTTCCTCTATAACACAAGCCTTTTCCAGTCAGACATTCCTGTGATTAACTAGGATTGTGCTTAATTGAAATACATCTTCTGGGAAGCTGTCCACTCTTGATTTGAAGACTTCAAGGGATGCGGCATCTACCATCTCCCATGGTAGTTTGCCCTGATTTGTGCTAAAATATTGCTTGCCTTGCCTACACAGAAGAGTTTTGAAACATGCCAGAGTTTGATCACCTCAGG